ATGCCCACTCTACCCATGTCATCTCTGGGTAATGGGGCAGCAATGACTTCTAAAGAAGCAACTGCATTCCCGATGGAGGTTTCCATCCACTCCCTTTGCAGGATCTGGAGTGAGAGGCCCCTCAGAGAGGTTATCCAGCTGATGGAGTAGGGAACATTCTCCCCATGCAGGAGCAGTCCAGGGTGGGAATTGGTTTACCTTACACGGCCATCAGAAATGTATCTCAAAAAAAATATCACTTAAAGAAAGCCATAGACTGACCCTTTGGTGAAGGGAACTCTCATTCATTCCTTCAACAAATATTTTTTGAGCACCTGTTATGTGTCTGGCACTGTTCTAGGCACTGGAGATACAGCCGTGAGTAAAGCAGGCAAAACCTCTGCCCTCATGGACCTTACATTCCTGAGCGGGCGGGTTAAACAGACGAAATAACTGAATAATACGTTAGATGCTAATAAGTGCCATGGAGAAAAACTAAGCACAGAAGGGGCTAGGGGATGCCGAGGAGATAATGGCTGTGATTTTAAATTGTTGGCGTGTCGAGAAGAGTAACCTTTGAGTGACCGCCTGAGGATACCTGGGACAAGATTCCAGGCAGAGGGGGGAGGGTTGGAGAGCAGCAGCGATGAGGTCAGAGGTGCAGACTAGGGGCCACGATCAGTGGAGCCCCATGGGCTACACCCAAGTGGGGTGAGAGCCACGGGGGTGTGTGGGCAGGGGCAGGATGGGCCTGGGCTCTCACCAGCTGCTGGACCCTCCCCTGCGTCCACTCACAGCAGTCATGAGCTCTGATGTTTTGACAGCCACAGAAACGAGCTGGGAGCTTTTTCGAATGGCTTCCTTCTCCTTTCAACATTTGCTCCACGTGAGAATAATTATTCTGAGTTTAGTTTATGTGGACCCTTTGACTTCATTCCCTCTGACAGATACTTTGTGTGTGTGTGTGTGTGTGTGTGTGTGTGTGTGTGTGTGCATGCACACGCACACATGCACAAACTTCCATTCATGTGTGTTAACTCAGAACTGACTTAAATTGTATATTTCAGGTAAATGAATTTTTTGGTAAAAAAAATTATCTAACCTCCCCGGGGCTCAGTTTCTTCATCTGAAAAATGGGTATGAGAATCTTGACAAAGAGTGTATCCCAATGCCTAACCCACGGTAGAAGCTCAAGAATGTGTTGTCTCATTTTCCTATCCTTCCTCTGACATTCTTGTAAATTAAATAACCATTTGTTCCTCTTCACCTCTGTACATGACTTTGTAGTTTTAGATCATTATGCCGACGAATATACTGGGTTTGGATGACTTCAGCTGACCTAACTTTACTGTCGCTTTGACTGTTAAATGAATTTATTAATGTATATAGCATCAATTTGTTCTCTCCCCATTTAAATAGAGGTGAAAGGATTTTCCATACTGCATCAAGAAGGCACACCTCCATCAAAACAATAAAGCTGAGTAAAAGCAGAACACATGTAAATATTTCATTTTTGCTAATGAAAAAACTTATATACATATATAAATATATTTAGGATATCATATTCTGATACACTATACATTTTTCTCCATCAGGATAGAACAACATAGCCGAAAAGAGCCATATTGATATTTTTCACAGAAGCACTGAGCTTTAAAAAATGTTAATGGCCTAAAACTCACATATAAATACTGAATTACTAAAAGCAGCAGCAATTACATGTTTAATGTCAACAGGAGCACATTATCTAATGAGCTGTTTTCAGAAGTTAATAATGGGATTAATCACTGACAAAAACTGTGGAAAAGAAGTTCTTTTGTACTAATAGTACTCCCAAGGCAATTGCTGCCTGAGGAGAGGTAGATCTTGGCTAATGAGGTGCCAGTTGAAGTCAGGGGGTGGTGGAAGTCAGAGAAAGATCAGCTGGCTTCTCAGGCAGTGCTCACCATGTGGCACTTACTGGTGGGGTCTTTGTATTCCAGAGTCCAGTCCTCAGCTTTGTGGGTCTAGTAGCCCCCAGAATTAAGCAGGATCAGGAGGACCAACTTACGCTAACCAGACTTATAAGAGATTGATATATAAACCAGATTGGAAGTATTTAGTTTAAAATATGGATTAGAACTACCAAGGAGAGGGGATTTCTTTAACTGGCTGTTACTCTATCCTTTGTGGAAATCTGTATGGGGAGCCAAATTGCAAAAGGAATAATGGTAGTTCAGTTACACATTCATTCAACTTTTAATTGAGCACCTACTATGTGCAAGGCACTGTTCTAGACCCTGGGGAATGCAGCAAACAAAGGATAGAAAACCTCCCTGCTCTCTTAGGGTGTACATTCTAATGGAGAGGCAGGGGGTGACAGATGGTGAGCAAATACATATGTGTCATGGCAGATGGTGATACGTACTTTAGAGCCTCACCACTCCAAGTGTGGCCTGGGGGCCTGCTGCATGGGTACCCCCGGGGAGCTTATTAGGCATGTTACCGAGTCCAAGCTTGTACTGCTCACCACACGACAGGCCAATAAATCGAGAGACGAGTTGTTGGGGCCAGGAATAGTGACTTTATTTGGAAAGCCAGTAGACTGAGAAGATGGTGGACTTGTGTCCCAAAGAACGTATTACAGGGGGACCCATCCCAACCCACAGAATCAGAATCCACATTTGAGCAAGATTCCCAGGTGATGGGCATGCACATTAAAGTTTGAGAAGCACTGATTTAGAGAAAAATTAAGTAGGAAGAGGGGGATGGAGAGTGCTAAGGGCAGGGATTGTTATTGATATTTTATAGAGAGTACAGGGAAGGCCTCACAGATATGGTAACACTTGTTCAGAGCCCTGAAGGAGGGAGGGAGGGAGCCATGTGGATATCTAGGTGAGGAGCGTTCTAGGTAGTAGAAGAATAAGCTGGTGCAAAGGCCCTGAGGCAGGAGCATGTCCTGTATGTTTGAGGAACAGTAGGAGGGAGGTAGGCTGGAGCAGAGTGAGTTGAAGGAAGAGTTGTAAGGGCAGAGAAGTAACTAGATGGTTGGTCGGGCAGATCACTTAAGGTCTTATAGAAATTATAAGGACTCTGGCTCTTACTCTTAGTGGGGTTGGAGCCTCTGGAGGGTTTGAGCAGAAGAACGTTGTGATCTGAATTTTTAAAGGATCACTCCAGCTTCTGTCTTGCAAATAGACTATAGGGGACAAGGGAGGAGCCCATTGCAGTAGTTCAGGTGAGAGATGTTGGTAGCTTGGACTATAGCAATAGAAAGAAGTCGTATATTTTGAAGATGGAGGTGACAGGGTTTGTTGCTCAGTAGGATATTGAGTGAGAGTAAAAGAGACAGGTCAACACTGATGGCAAAGTTATTGGTCTGAGCATCTGGAAGGAAGGAGTTGCCATTTGTTGGAGTGGAAAATATCACAAGAAGAACAGGTTTGGTTGGGGGGTGGGGGGATTGAGAGTTGGGCTCTGGATATATTAGAGACATTTCTTAAGTATCCAACTGGAGATTTGGGTTGATGGTTGGATACAGGAAGCTGGAGTTCAAAGTAGTGGTCCTGGTTAGAGATATAAATAAGCATCAACAGCACAGATGGTTTTTAAGCCTTGAGTCCATGAGGTCATCTAGGGAGTGGGAGAGAAGAGAGCTTGTGTGGTATTAACAGTATCACCAAGCTCAAACAGCCAGCTGCAGCCATCTTGCCCACCAGATAGACCTGCCATCCGGCCAGGTTACCCATGTCTGCTGTTCAGGGTACCCTCCCCTGGCATGGATAAATCTTTGGTTCTCTTTTTCTAGATTTTCTGCAGACCCCACACCCTTCTAATAACTCTTTATTCCTATAAACAGTTATTTTGGTTACTGTTTTCTTTACTCCAGTCCTTTTGATTGGACTGAGGTGTTCCCAAAGCTTCCCCACCTGGGATCATGGGGGGAGGACTCATTCATCTCACATCAAAGGCTTTTTCTTTTTCTTACATTTTCCTAACCCAGCTTACTAAAAAGTTGAAAGAATTGTACATTGAACACCCATGTTGCTACCACCTCGATTCCACAATTAGCATTTTACTATATTTTAATAATCACATCTCTGTTCATCTATTTTTCCATTCATCTGTTAATCCATCATATTTTTTGATGTATTTCAAAGTAAGTTGCAAACATCAGTAGACTTCAACCCAAAACACTCCAGTATGCATATCATTGCCTAGAGTTCAATATTCGTTTGTGATGTTTTAGATAAAATTAACATACAGTGAAATGAACAGCTCTTAACTATACCAGTTGATGTTTTGACAAGTGTATACACCCATGTGACCCAAACCCCTATCATGATGTAGAGCATGACCATCAACCTGTTGCCCTTTGCAAGTTAATTAATGCCAGCCCCACCCTCCTTGAGGCACCTGCTGTTCTAATAACAGCAGTTATTATAACTGACAGTCACTTTCGTTACTCTATTTCACTCTGGCTCTGAGAATAGCTGGATCGTTTTGATTAGACGAGGCATTTCCATGCCTCCCCAGCCAGCCATCGGGGGGCGGAGCAGATCCGTCCACTCGGGTATGTTTTATTCGTTGCTCACTCAGTGGGTGACTTAACTACAATATTTAGAGTCATCTCTCTGTGGCCTTTGCCGCCTGACTGCTCCACTCTACTAATCCTCAGATTGCTTATTTCTTCTTCTCTTTTGACTCACGGACATTACCAGTGGGGAAACTTGATACCAATCCATCTTCCTCTTCCTCCTCTTAATCATAGTGAAGCCTCACATTTCTTGAGCACCTACTAGGGGCCACACCAAAGCACCACATATACCTTGCCTCTCTGATGCCTTGCAACATGATAGCCCCATTTTACAGATGAGGACACTGAGGCTCAGAGACTTTGAGTAGCTTGCCAAGGCAAGAGGCTTTCTGAGCCCAAACCCTCTCAACCATCTCACGACCTGGGACTGGAGGGCATTCATCTCCTGCTTGCTTTCCCCTTCCCCGAGCTCCTTGTCATGTGCTTCCCTCACTCTTCCCTGCAGCCGTGGTGAAGAACCCGCCCAACAACCTGTGGATCATCGCCGCGGTGCTGGCGCCCATTGCCGTGGTCACAGTCATCATTATCATCATCACTGCCGTGCTCTGCCGGAAGAACAAGAACGACTTCAAGCCAGACACCATGATGAACCTGCCCCAGAGAGCAAAGGTACGAGACAGAAGCTGTGAGGAGAGGGGCAGGAGCCCTGGACCCTTGGGGCTCCACCTGCCTTTTCTCTCATGGCTCTTGAGGTCTTTGCAAGTACCTTCAGAAGCATCCTCGTGAGTCCTCATGTTGAAGGAGACCCTTTATTTACTTATTTGAATGTTTTAAAAATTGTGGTAAAATATACATAACATAAAATTTACCATCTTAGTCACATAAGTGTACACTTCAGTATTCTTTAGAATATTTGCATTCTTGTGCCATCTTTATTTTTATAACGAGGACACGATAGCTAATGCTCATCTCACGCTCGCTCTTTGCCTTAAATGCTTCTCAGGGCTTTGCATATACCAGCAACCCCTAATCTTGCCAGCAACCCTTTGAGGAAGAGCGTTATTTTACAGATGAGGAAACAGAGGCACAGAAAACGAGTTGCTAGCTAGACCTGAAAGGGGCCTCAGAGGTCATCTGATCTGACACCTTCCCTCTTACAGAGAAGTGACTTCTACACAATGGCACAGTTAGTAAGTAGCAGAACTGATAGTAGAACCAGGTCTCTTGGATCCTAACTCAATGCCCTTTGGGGCACATCAGACCCTCAAAATTTTCCTTCTGCCTGCTGGAGTGGCTGATCTTCAAAGGCTGCGTGACGGGTGAGATACAGAAACTTGGCCGGGCAGCCATCAACCCCCAGTTCAGTGGCTACCCTGAGGGCCGGCCGGGAGCCCCGTCCACTTTCCACGGCCTCCATGGGGCCGTACCACCCATCTCCAGTGACTAGAAGGGGAATGAACTGAGGAAATTCCAAAGGCTAATTCTCCAGTCACGTGGCTCCCTTCACAATAGTCCCCGAAGGGACTATAATAACCTGTAATACCCAGTGTTTAAATAATGCCTTACAATATCCTGGGCTATCCTAGGTCTGTCACCTTGTGTGCTCATCACAGTAGCCCTGTGAGGTAGGTTATAGTCAGGGCAGCATTTATTATTTTCATTTTACAGCAGAGAAACCCAAAGGAAAGAGAGACGGTGGGACTTACTCCACAGCAGTGGGGGAGGTACTCAGGCCCATATCTGAGTCTTTGGGCTCTGTCTACTTTATACCCCTTCCTGAACTCTGAGATTTGGTGGGTAGAATCCTCTTCCAGCCCTGAACATCTGAGCTTTGTCTACCTGTGCAGGAATGAAACAGCAAATGGAATTTCACATCCACTGGGATGCATGACGTAGTGATCGTCCTTGCTGGGAGTCAGGCATGTCTAGTTCTTCCTGGATGATCATACCTTGCTTCAGCAAAAGAAATCAAATGAATTTGATTGTTTATTAAACCGAGTCACCTGTTGAGAAGCTGCGGCTTGCTGAGACACTGTCTAGTGAAGAGCCCAACCCCAAAGAATGTTGTTCTGTGTCTGTTGACATAAAGCCACCCGCTGCGCGGACGCAGCATGATGTTGGTAATTACCCAAGCAGTGAAAAATGGAACTATTCCAAGAAGAGGTATCTCATTTCCATCTTAGCTTGGTTATAATCTGAGCCTTGCAGACATAACAGTAATTACCAGAATCTAATTGCAGCTGAGTCCAGGAATGCAAAACATGCCATACTGAGGTTGTAAATGCCATCTTTGTGTGCTAGATGAAGCCAAAATTTTACTAATTTGCCGAGATGAGTTGGGCAGCACATGATTTCAGCATATCTTCTGGCTGGAAAGCTGTGTGAGGCTGGAACAGATTCATGTGTGTGGGTTTTCATAGCCCCTTTTATGTCCCTTCCCGGTGCATTGTGCTTCAACAGATACCCGGCTGCTGTGGAAAATCAAGCAAATTTATGTTCCATGAGATGATTGAGTTCACTTGTGTGGGGTGATGGTGGTTGTTTTCTCCCTCAATGAAACTGGGCTACGCACTTGATTTCCAAAGCCCTTTTATCACGGGAAACCAGCGGGGTGGAACTGCCTCTTTCTTACCACAGTCCTGTCCGTTGCAACCCGGGGGCACTGCGGTGTTTGCAAAAGGAGAGAGCCGCCTGCATCACTTCTCACAACCGTTGTGTGTGAGCAGAATTCATTTAACGCCAAGGGACCAGGCGGGATGAAAACGTTAGCTTTCGCCACCAATCCAGAGACCGGGAGGGTGGTCTCCTAGTCTCCAGGGACACCACTGTGTCTGTAAGGATGCGGGCTGCAGTGCCAGAGGACATGGCTGAGGATCCTTGCTGAGCCTCACTTATAGACTTAACATCCTAAGAGGAGGTGAGTGTGGCTGTCCCGGGAGCCAAGACCCAGCCGTGCACACCCACACCCTTCTGCAGAGACAAGGTACTACAGATGGAACCCTATTACCACTGCTGTCCTCTGGGCTTCGGCAAGTAGAAGGTTGGGAAAATCAGCGCAGGAAGAGGGCCAGGCGTCATGCCTTTGTTGCCTCCTTTCTTCCTAGTTCACTTTTCCCTCCTCTTTGTCATTGGATTCATAGCCTTTTCCCAGGTTTTCCCTTTAGCTGAAGAGAACATGATCCCCTGGAACAGGCCACCTTAAGAGAAAGCTGTTAGGGCCATATCCAGATGCAGAGTGAGCTTGGAGGGCCTGCACTGGTTGGCATGACCTTCTGCTTGGGATGGGTCTGCTTTAGTCACCCCCTAAAGATGCCCAGCTGTCTCCTGTTTCTCACATATTATCTATATGACCATACTTAACCTCTTTGTGCCTCAATTTTCCCATCTGTGAAATGGGGGTGACAACAGTATTCACTTACAGGTTGTTGTGAGGATTAAGTGAGTTATGTGAATTACTTTGAGTGTACCTGGTACAGAATAAATATTATATATAAGTTGATGTTTATTATTACACATGCTTTCTTCTTAAAAGATCTGGGTAACATGTTTACCTTTGAAATTGTTGGAGATTATTTTGATTTGATAATTTTACAAAACTCATTAAAGCAACTATTAATGTTTCATGATGTTGTATTAACGGTATTAGGGGTCACTAGTGTGTGTCCCGTGGGCAGTTAGTTAATCTCAGGTGATTTTCAAGTTGGAGGCTGAAAGACCACTATCCTGTCAGTCAAAAGAGTAAGGTACTAGTCTTGAGTCTTTCACCACTTAGCTGTGTGATCTTGGCCAAGTCACCGAACCTCTCTGAGCTTTTGTTTTTTCACCTATAAAGTGAAGACTGTGCTGTTTGCCCTGCTTTCCCCATGTGGTTGTTGTGAGAATGAAATGAGGTGTCAGTGTTTTGCAGGCTGTAAGTACTGAACATGTACAGGGATTGTTATTATTAACCTAATAACAAGGGCCACCTTTTTAAGCTTGTCATTCCTTAATGTCTCCCTGCTCACCCACCATCAGCCCAGTCTCCTGAAGTATCTAGCGGGCAACTTCTGCCCAGTGTGAAGGGTGAGAGGCCAAGTTCAGAGAGAGTGAGGTTGAGGGGGGCAAGCCAGAGCTAGCTCGTCTCCCTCACTAGGTTCGTAGGTCATCTTAGCCGCCAGTGCAGACTCCCAGTACCTCTCACACAAGCCAGGAGGCTCAACACAGGAGCCAGGCCAAGCATGGTAGAAGATGCCCAACCAAGATGGCAGAGGCTGCAGAAGGAGAGGAGAGGCCGTGGGAAGAACCATCAAGCAGTGGTTGGGTGTTCTGGCTCTGGGTCATATAGTACTGGGTTCAAATCCCGGCTCTACCATAGACCAGCTGTGTGAGCCTGGGGAAGTTGCTGAACCTTTCAACCTCAGTTTCTTCATCTTTAAAATGGGGAACCATAACAATACCTACCTCCTTGAACTACAGTGAGGATGAAATGACATAATTTATGCAACATATTCGATACTGTACCAGTAGTACCAAGTGAAGCTGAAACTGCGAGCTCCTTGAGGGTAGGGGGCCAGTTATTATTCACCTTTATGTTTCCAGCACCAAGCGCAGTCTCTGACACAAGCCAGTGCGCAATAACTAGAGTTGGAACAAAACTGAATAGGATAATGGGAGCATAGGGGTATGGCAGAAAAGGGACCTACAGGAGATGAGGCTGGGCACATGGGTTCAGACAGAATGTGAAGGGTCTTGAGTGCCTTGCCAAAGTGCCATGGAGCGTTTTTAATGAGGGAGTGATGATGACCTGACATGGTTCTAAGGGAGGTAACTTTGGAGGATTGTCAAGGGTGGGCCTGGAAAGGAGCAGAATGGAAGTGACAAGACCAGGGCAGGGTCAGTACAACAGTGGACCTGGAGAGAAAAGGTCAGCTTCCAGAAACATTTCGGTTGAATTCAATTGGTGATCAGTTGTTTGTAGGAGAAGCAGGTGAGTCAGTATTCTAGGAATATCAGCACATCATCTGAAGGCTCCTTTGTATTTCACGTACCACCGAGAGAGGAGAGGGAAATGAACAAACACTATTTCAGAAGCACATTCCCAGATCTTAGCATAGAATTTTAGTGGTTACCACGTGGGTCAGAGTGTGAGTGTCTCAGAGAAGAGGAACCAGTGACCACACCTCCCAGAGTGAGTTATCCAGGGAACTGTCCGTGGCTATACTACAGACAGCTTGAAATAAGGAAGCTTTGCTGGATTTAGCAATAAAACTCCATCCTATTCTGAGACACTATTTGATGGGTTGGGCCAGGGTCTTAGACCATTAAATCTGGCTGGAGCCTTCCTGTTACAATTCTTAGCTAAGTAACCTGCTGAAAGAGGAACTTCTCATCATATCAAGTGCTGATAGAACCCAAACAATAGAGGTTAAGTTTCATCCCAAATTTTCTTAAGGAGAATCCACTGATGTCCATTTCACCTGGCCTATGATTTAGTAGGCAGGAAAGCAGTATTAACTAATACTGATTGAGCACTTGCTGTGTGTCAGGTACTTAGCTAAATGCTGGACTTGAATTTACTTATGTAATCTACACAGTCTCCCATTGGGGGTAGTTAAATATCGCTCTCACAGACATACACATTTGATCCTGCTTATGCTGTTGTTCTCTCCATTTTACAGGTGAGGAAACATGTGCAGAGAATTTCAGTAACTTGCCCAAGGTCACCCAGCTAATACATGTCAGAGCCAGGATTTGAATCCAGGCTGTCTGGTTTTGGAGCTGCTGACCTTAACCTCCCCATTGTCCTGCCTCAAATCTGTGTTGTACTGTTTTGGGGTGTCAAGCAGAATAGAGACCCTCGCAGGAATTGTTTAAATATGCTTCTTGGTTTTTTCATTACCCCACTAATAAATGTCTGTTGGGTTTTGCTCACAGCTGCCCTATTCACTTGGGATTTCAGACATTGTACAACAAAAGCCTTGCTAATTTTTCCATAATGAATTATAGGAAAGCCAGCCTGCTTAAGGGAGAGGTCTGGATTAAAGAGTGATTCCATAAATTCCATTTTATTATTAATAATTGTGCTGCCTCGCATGTGGTAGCACATTGCCTCCCTCTGTTTTCAGATCTGTGATCCCCTTTAATACTCAAGGGTGGTGGAGGTAAAGCAGATATGGTTATCTTCATTTCTCAGATGAGACAGCTGAGGTTCAGAGTTCAAGTGACTTGGCAAAGCCACACACCTGCTATTACACAGGATTTAAGGGATGACAAAATATTCCTAGGTAGAAGATGCGGGACCTGTTTAATGTAGCAGTTAAAAGCTTCTAATTAGTAGTATCCTGTGACTTAAGTGGTCTAAAATCCTTGAAAGTATTTGTTCTCACACACATATTTGCATCTTGTTTATACTAGTCATTTTTCTGATTCTTACCTATAGAGATTCTGTAGCTAGGTGGAATTAACACGGATTTTGATTTTGCAGAGACAGAAATTAGGATGGAGATCTGTGTTAACTCTTGTTCATCAGAAAGCTAAGTATGGTCCCAGCACATGCACTTTCCCACCTGTCTTCTCTTAAAGCTGCTGTGAACGTCTTGCTTTGCCAGAAACGTGACTGCAGATCTGTTTCCTTTTTGCAGCCTGTGCAGGGCTTTGATTATGCCAAGCAGCACCTGGGCCAGCAAGGGGTGGACGAAGAGGTCATCCCCGTGACTCAGGAAACGGTGGTCCTCCCACTGCCCGTTAGAGATGCTCCTGCCTCTCAGGAAAGGGATGCCCCTCAGGATGGAAGTACCATCAAGACGGCCAAATCCATCGAAACCAGAAAGAGGTAGGCACGGGGCCAGCTTCTGACTCTCTGTGTCAGCAAGAGAAATAATTGATGGGGAGAACAGCTGAAGCCCTCGAGTTAATTCCTCCGTTCTCTTTAAAAATTCCCCTTCGTGCTTGTTTTGAATATTTGAGAAGGAGACTAAGGGAGACGATAAGAATCACAATACCTGCTTCTCATGAGCCACTCGTTGTAAGGTTTTAGATGCCTGATCAACCACAACGGAAGAGGTTTAGCTCTTATATTTATTATAACAAATTTGGCACTGATGTCACACTTATATTTTTAATTTATCTTAAGAGCAGTGCCTTTGGTTCAGGATAGTTGTATTTTATCTGGCAATTTCTCTATAGAGCTTATGATTTTAGTTCAAAAACCATTTATTGAGTTTTTACTATGAACAGAGCACTTTGACAGGCATTGGGAGGACTACAAAAAGGTTTAAGATTGATTCCTGATCCCGAGCATCTCCTGATGGAAAGACAGAAAGAAATTGCTGGAATACCAAACGTGATGGGCAGGTGCCCACAGTGGAGTCTGAACCAAATCCTGGGGAAAAGAGAGGAGGAAGAATTTAATTCTGATGAGGGAAACATCGTGGAGGAGGTTATGTTGTAGCCAAGCCTTGAAGGGCAAGTGGGATGCCCGTAGGTGGGAAGAGATAAAGGCATCCAGGCTGGCAGAGCCAGGAGAGATATGGACATCCATGCTCATTTAATAATGAGTGTCTCTGGGGCTTAGAGCTCACAGTGCTTGGGATATAGTGAAAGATGAAACCAGAAGATAGATGAAAACTGTGGAGGGTCTTAACTGCCAGCCTAAGGAGTTTACCGTTATTCTCTAGGCATTGGTAAGGCACTGAAAGTTCTTCAGGGAGACAGTGATGTCCAGCCTGTATCTTAGAAAGACTACTCCAGCGGCAATGTGGATGATAGATGGGAGAGGTTAGGCTGGAGGGCAGGAGCTTGTTAGGACTTTGCAATAGGCTCACAAAGAGGTAGTGAACTCTCTGGCCAGCCCTGTTGTCTGGCTAAACCAGCTCCCATTGCCAGCCTTGCCTGGGACCACAGTGGCGGCTGGAAAAGCCACATCCTCTCTCCCTCCTTCCTTCCCTTCACCTAACATATCTATCGATTGCTTGCTGTCTCCTAGGCACTAGGGATACTGCAGCAAATAAGACAAAGTTCCTACTCCCGTGGTGCTTACAATTTGGTAGGGAGAGATAGACAATAAACAAATAGAGCAATAGAAATATAGTAGGTTGGGCATTGATGAGTACAAAGAAGAAAATCAAAGCATGGTAAGGGAATGCAGAGCTGGAGAGGGGAACATGAGGCTATTTTAGCAGGAAGTTGGGGAAGGCCTCTCTGATAAAGTGACATTTGAGGAGGACCTGATTGAAATGATGTGTAAGCCTTGAGGTTATCTCGCAGAAAAACTTTCCAAGCAGATGGAACAGTGTGTACAAAGCCCAGGGGAGGGAACTTCTTGACTTGCTTAAGGAAGAGCACGAAGGCCAAAGAGGCTGATATGAACGAGGGGGCAAGTGGTAGCGGGTGGGCCAGAGGAGCTACCTGAGGTTGAGCATGTCAGGCTTCATAGACCAAAGTCAGGACTTGAGATTTTGTGGTGAATAAAGATCAGAAGTCATTGGAAGGTTTTGAGAGGAACAGTGATGGGATGTGACTTGCAATTTTAAAGGTTCACTATGGCTGCCGTGTAGAAATAGACTGTAGAGAAGCAGAATAGAAGCAGAGAGACCCATTAGGAAGCTATTGCAAGAGTCCAGGTGAGAGATGGTGGTGTGGGCCAGGGCGTGGAGGTGGAAGAAGTGATTGGGTTCTAGAGATGTTTAGAAGGAAGGGCTGACAAGATTTGCTGATAGATTGTTGCGGGGTATGGAAATAGAGAGGGATGAATTTGCCATGTATTGTGCTGGGGAAGACTGGAGAAGTTCGTAGGGGACGATCAAGAGTATGGATGTGGGTATGTTAAGTTTGAGATGCTCATGAGACATGCAAGTGGAGATGTTGAGAGCTCCGTTAACCATATGAGTCTGGAGTTCAGAGGAGAGGTCCAGAGTAGAAATATAAATGTAGGAGCTGTCAGCGTTTGGTTATAAAAAGCTCTGAGACTAGACGGGCACCTAGGAGAGTGTAGCTAGAGACGAAATCAAAGAACTGACCCCTGGGACATTGCAACGATTAGAGGTCCAGATAATGAAGACGGATCAGCAAAAGAGTCTGAAAAGCTATCAGTAAGAAAGGCACAAGGAGAGCGAAGCAAGAGTGAAATCTGAGAAGCCAAGAGAAGGGAGTCGTTGCAGGAGGAAGGAAGGATTGTTTGTATCAAATATATAAATTTTGCATTGGAGTCAAGCAGCAAGGCTCTGTGCTTTTCTCTAGGAGATCTTGGTACTTAAGAAAGAGGTACAGAGAAACAGGGGTGGATTTCAGCTTGTGTGGGAAAGAATGTTGAGGGCATGTGGATTAATTATCTGTGGCCCTCTAACAAACCGCTCTAAAGCTTATCAGCTTAAAACAACCACCATTTATTTAGCTCATGATTTTTGGTGGGTCGGCAGTTTAGGCTGAGCTCAGCTGGGTAGTCCTTCTAGTCTGAACTAGGCTTGGCTGATCTCAGCTGGGCTCACTCACGCATCTTTAGTCAGGTGGAAGGCCTGCTGGGCTGGCTTGTTGATGACAGCCTTGTCTGGGTTGGCCAGGTAACTGGGACCTCTTGACATGTGGTCTTGAACCCTCCAGCAGGCTAGCCCCGACTTCCTCAAAAGGTGGTTACAGGGTTCCAAGAGCAGTAAGAAAAGAAGCCCCAAACAGGCTTCAAGTCTCTGCTTTTATCATGTTTGCTACTGTCCTGTTGGCCAAAGCAAAACGCATAGTCAAGTCCAGAGTCAGTGTGGGAGGGGACTACCCTAAGCTTGGTTACTGGGAGGTGTGAACAAATTGGGACCTTAACTGCAACAGTCCATCCCAGCATGAAGTTGAAACATACAGAGAAACAATGGATGATTTATCTGAGTTGACTGGCAAGTAGTATTATCTATAGTAATTATTCTCATTATGATCTTTGCCGAGTACCACCATAAAGGCATGTTAACAGTTTATCACCTATTTAGAGGACACTGAAAATAAATAAATAGAATTACTAAAATTAGAATATTAACATAGCACTGCACTGCCAGGAAGAACAGAAACTTTTGCACCCATTCTAGTTGAGTGGTTTAAGTTGTGCAAAGATTTCTTTTAAAAAAAATTGTTTTAGAACAAGCTATTTTGTTTCTTGAATTTGCAAGGAGTCTACTCTTGCTAATCAAGTTTAAATATTTAACCTCAGATTTTTATTAAGAAATATTAGCTTATGAAACAAATACAAATAAAGAAAACAGTGCCTACCCTATTGAATGATTTCTCCATTTGCTTCATAATTTTACCATAACGATATTTATTAAAGACTGGCTATATCATTGCCATAGCTGTGGGAGAAACATCACCTCTGTTCGAGTTCAGTTGATCACAGGAATCTCGGATCATGTGGGAAGATTTTAGGATGCCACATCCAAGAGCAAGCCCATCACGCATCTATGTTTCTAGCTTCCCCAACTTGCCACTTCAGTTTCCTCATTCCCGCTAGAGCAGGACCGCATGGCCCTTCAGAATGGGGCCGTTAGATGGTCCAAACAGTTTTGCAGGTGAAAAATAGGGGAAGCCAGTGATCTGGTGGTCATTAAGATATCTTTAAAAAATTTGTTTTAAAACTGAAGGATAAATGAAGGTTCAGCCACTTGCAGACAACCAGATGATGTTTCAGGTCCTTTTCCTTATGTAGTCTTTTGGTGATGGCTATTTTGTTGTTCCATGACTGGGATTAATGAGCAAGGATAGAGAAGCAACAGCCATTCGCAATGGGTACTTCAGTGCAGTGATTGGTCATGATTGTTCAGCAGTTGATTAATCCCCACCCCCAAGATTGTTCTTCCAGGATCCGTGTACACCCATACTCAGAATGGGGACTACTGAGTTCAATAGACTTAAACTGCAACCTCTCAGGTGACACTTACTTTCAAAGACATTTTTGTTACTGTCATGAGTGGACACACACACACACGCACATACATAGATCTCACTCTCTGTTTTTGACCAGAAATTCTGAGTTGACAGGTCCATGTAAACATAAGTCTATAAGCTGATGCAAAGAATAAAGCCGAGCTGGGTTTTTTTTTCCCCTCCAGAAATGTGTTCATTCATACCTTTCGTCGGAGCAAGAGTAATAGCCAGAAAATCGTTTCAGGATCAAATGAGGGAAAGGGTACACAAATGCTACAAAAACCATTAAATATTTTGTGCCTGTGAAGTAGGTTGCAAGGAGCCTTTCCTTCTGGACCTCAGTGAAAGCCTCGTTGTGCCACGGAAGCCAGCTGGAAGAGTAGGGATCATTAACTGTGAGGTTCTGAAAACAATCCAAAGGTGTATGTGTGTCTGCACACCCAGCACTCAGCGATCAAATAGTTAATGCCTCATTCATATTTTCCTGAACTACGTTCTTTGTATTACTTTTATGGTGAAAGAGATTGTGGCCAAACAAACTGGGAAGTGCTGAATTAAACACAAGATGAGTCTCTTTCTGACAGGACTGATGAGAGCCTTTGATATGCTGATGTGCTGTAGGAATATCCAAAGAGGGAGTATAGTAATTGACATCTCCCAGACTCATGCTTGTCTGTGCATCCTTGGCGGGGAGCATCTCCCGTGGCCCCAGCGGTGCTCTGTGGAACGCTCGTGGCTGACTCTGCCTTATCCCACGGTTGTGAGCGGGCACTTTGATTGCGCGTGGTTTTTAGGGTGCCAAAGTTCACAAAAGTGTACAGGACTGAGAATCCCAAATTCCCAGAGGATGAGAGGGGGATGGGAGGAGGAGGTAGAGGGGCATCCACCAGGATATGCAGCTTCCACTTAAGAAGCTGCTTACTTATGGGCCAAGGGCTGCATTTTTTTTTGAATTTTATTTTATCTCTTTATACAGCAGGTTCTTATTAGTTGTCTGTTTTATGCATATTAGTGTATATATGTCAATCCCAATCTCCCAATTCATCCCACCACCACCACCCCCCGCTTTCCCCCCTTGGTGTCCATATGTCTGTTCTCTACATCTGTGTCTCTATTTCTGCCCTGCAAACTGGTTCATCTGTATCATTTTTCTAGATTCCACATATATGCGTTAATATACGATATTTGTTTTTCTCTTTCTGACTTACTTCACTCTATATGACAGTCTCTAGGTCCATCCACATCTCTACAAATGACCCAATTTCGTTCCTTTTTATGGCTGAGTAATATTCCATTGTATATGTACCACATCTTCTTTATCCATTTGTCTGTCGATGGGCATTTAGTTTGCTTCCATGTCCTGGCTATTGTAAATAGTGCTGCAATGAACACTGGGGTGCATGTGTCTTTTTGAATTATGGTTTTCTCTGGATATATGCCTAGTAATGGGACTGCTGGATCATATGGTAAATTCTAGTTTTAGTTTTTTAAGGAACCTCCATACTGTTCTCCATAGTGGCTCTATCAATTTGCATTCCAACCAACAGTGCAAGAGGGTTCCCTTTTCTCCACACCCTCTCCAGCATTTGTTGTTTGTAGATTTTCTGATGATGCCCATTCTGACCCGTGTGAGGTGTAGTTCTGATTTGCATTTCTCTAATAATTAGTGATGTTGAGCAGCTTTTCATGTGCCTCTTGGCCATCTGTGTGTCTTCTTTGGAGAAATGTCTATGTAGGTCTTCCGAAGGGCTGCATTTTATTCCAGTCAGTTTTCCATTGTAGGGGCCAGATGCCAGTAGGTGCTGAATTTGGACAGTTGACATCAGAACAACAAGGGATTTGGTGAACCTCTGCATAGCTGCTTCCTGATTGTCTCCCACAGAGGGGAAGGCAGTGTGTCTTTAGCTCAGCCCACCCACAGGCTGATGTGATCCAAGGAGCGTGAGCCTTAGCAGGGGTTCCCAAGAGCCCATTTTTCCCACAGGTTCCAGAACACCAGTGAGTGGCCCCAGTGGAAGGCGAGAAGGCCCTGTGGCTTGCCCTGTGTAAGGCCTGCCTCATCTGGGACATTGTAGGAGACAGAAAGGGAAGGGGCTCTGGCCTGTGGCGAAAGCTCCTACCCACAGGGGGAGCCCTGGCTTCCAGGGCTGATTCGCCACTCCCAGCTCTGTCCTGGACAAAACACCTCGCCTCCTGAAATTCCTCACTTGCTAACAAAGGTGACAATCATCACATCAGTGAGTTGTCATAAGGATGCATTAGCAGTTTGAAAGCATTCAGCACAGTCCTTGGCACATGGTAGGTGCTCGTGATGGGGAGCTTTTGGAGAACATGGGTGGTGTCTTTAAATCTCTATATACCTGTATACCTGACACAAATCCACAGAGGAGGTGTACATAAAGTCTTTCCTGAATGAATGAATAGCTCAAATTGGTAGATTCAAATGTAAGTGGTTGCCAGTTAGCTTGAGTGACTTAATCTTTAGGAGTCAAGCTGTATTCTGTAAAGAGACCAGCCGAAGAGAACCATGTTTTATGCATGTCCCTCAAGATGCCATGTGAATCAGACACTCTGCAACACTATCCAAAGTGCCGCGTTTTAAAAAGAGGGCACGCTTCCAAACGCCACCACTCCCTTGTCCCTACTCACTGGGGGTTCATGAAAAAGAGATGGGAATGGAGGGCTGCGCTCATTGAACTTCTCTGAGGAGCCCAGCACTGGTAAACACACTTCACAACAGCCAGGTCCTTAACCCATGCTGTGTGTTGAGTGTGTTTTTTTCCTTTTCCTGTATCGTGTCTTCTTTGTGGATAAAACCGGAATGAAAGGCTGCAGACACAAACTGTGCGAATAAAATAACCTTGAGAGGAGGCTGCTCTAGTTGAAACTTACCGTCTCCCTGTTGCTATGGTTACCTCCAGCAGGTCGCCCAGTGAGAATGGCTCTGTCATCAGCAACGAATCAGGGAAGCCCAGCTCGGGGAGGCGCTCACCCCAGAATGTAATGGCACAGCAGAAAGTGACAAAGGAGGAGGCATGGAAGAGAAATGGTGAGAAGCCTTCCCTGCCAAGCAGCACCCCCAAGCCCAGCGCACACGTGCGCGCACACACGTGCACAGGCTCGCACACCAGTGTGCTTCAAACCACCGCCCACTCTTCTCTCTACTGTGTCCCGCAAAGGTCCTACGTACCTCTTGAGGTAGTGCCTTACGCCCTTGCCTGAATTACTGTGTTTCACTTCGTCTGCCCTCTGTGCTTATGGAATTGTTCAGGGCCTGAGAAAAACCCTATACAGGTTGAGCTGATGTTTGCTTAGGGATTTTTCTCATTTGGGGGTGAATTGCCTTGATTTGTAGCACCGGGTCCACGAGGGTGGCAGGTTTCTGAAACGCTGCTTGTCTTGGAGAGTCCCCTCATTTTCTTGCCCTGACTCGCTTGATAAGTTTCAGGGCTTCAGTCTGTGCCAGTGAGTCCAGATATTACAAATCCACCTCTCCCAGGAAAATCAAGACAGTAATAAATCTGTCATCATAGAAATCAGCCTGAGCTTGTCTTTTTGCTCCAGGGAAACTTAACCGTTTAGTTTCTCCCTCGTGCAGATCTTTTCACCACCTATAAAGGATTGGTGTTGGGGATTATTTCCAAGTTGTCAGCGCTGCCTTAGTGTGCTGTGGCACCACCTGGAGATCTCACCTCTTAGACATCATTGTGCAGCCTCCTTCCTCCTCATCCCACTTTTGTTCTGAGCCTCGTCTCCACTCGGTCCTTCTGTGTGTGATGCTGGCTTCCTAAAGTGCTGCCACTCAGATCTGGGAAAATTCCTTTTGGATATCAAAGGGCTGTAGGTGGAGTCCTACAGAAATGCTGGGCGAAAAGGCAAACCATCTGGCGCTCTGGTTAGCTGTGCTTCCCTTTTACAGGAATGTGATGAAGTGTGGTTCAGGACTCTCCCTTGAAACTAGTGTCAGAATATTCTTTTGTTTTCGAACGTCACTTACTTCTTTCTTTTTTCTGACCAAAAAAGGAAGAATGGCACAATGGATTTGTCTTCTGCATGGAAAATGTGGTCCCTGTTCCCATTTCCAACCATTATATAAAGCATTTCTTTAAACTGTCAAACTGATTTGATTCTTATATTTTTTCTTTTCCTGATCCCCCCCATGCCGCACAGAGACTGTGCTTTCCACACCGGAATCAGGGTGTGACCTGTGGGGTTTTCCTGGAATATCACCCTACCCGGGACCACCAGAAATTCTGCCCATCGGCAGTCTGCCAAGGCAGCTCACAGCGGGCCACAGGAGCTGTGGCTTATAAAGGGAGATGTGAACTTAGCCACTTTCTCCTCTTTCCTCCCAGAGTGAGATGCTAAGGAAGGTGGTCAGAGGGAGTGAGGCAACCCAGAGGCAATGCAGTGAAGCCACAGGGGAAGGTTGTTTTAACCAACTGCGGTGACTGCCATTGCCTCTAACCGAGATGCCCTCCTACTCCCATCACACCCCTCCTTCCCTCCTTCCTTTATATTCTTCCCAGAAATGTATAAAGTCGAGTCAAAGCCCATCCTCCCCCAGATACCCCATCACCCACCCCAGTCCTCAAATGGCCTTGAATAACTCAGTGTGTGTCTCTCTCAGACTTTTTTACTATGCATATGACAACACACATGTATCTTCACATGTATCAACACGTTTTTTGTTGTATTGCTTTATTTTATTTTGTGCAATGGGATCAATGTACATACTGTTCTGTGCCCTTTTTCTTGCTTAAAAATATGCAATATACAGACTCCTCTGTCAGTAAATACCCACTGACAAGCTGATGCCTTTCCCCGTGCCCTGCATTTAATCTGTAGAAGACGAAGGGGCGGGGTCAGTTTCAGACGCCATCACTCCCCACCCAGCTGGTGAGGCATTGACTTCCCTAAATGTTCCCACTGACCTTCCTGCTCTTGTTTTCCCACCCTCTCTACCTGCCTTCTCATTCTGTTTAGGTCACTTTGATTATTTAAATATCAGGTTCAGAAATAACAACAGCCGGGTGCATGAATAAAATGCAGTTGCTGTACCAGGTTGAGGTTTTAACATGTTTGTTTTCTTAAAAAGCCATCCTTTCTCCAAGTTTACAGTGCTCCATTGCATTTTATTTTTGCCAGAAGTAAACCCAGTGAAGTTTCAGGCTTGGTCACTTCTCTTTGACCAAACGTTCTCGTTCAGTGAGGTTTCACTTCGAAAATTTCAAATAGAAATGAGAGGACCCACTCATTTAATGTAAAATTCAATAGATGCTGAAGCACATCAGAATTCTAGACTGGACCTTCAATGGAACCTACACTTGTCCTTTTTTTTATCACAGGGCTCCACTTTATCACAATACTAGGTTAGAGTTCACCAAAAATATCAATAGCATATTTTATTGGATTAGAAGATGAACAGAAGAAGGGAAGGAAGGAGGGAGGGAGAGAAGGAAGAAAGGAAGGAAGGGAGGAAGGAAGGAAGGAAATAACGTTGAATGGAATTGTGGAAAAACTAAAAGGTGTAGTTCCATCACATTGTCAGCTTGCAAAACGTACTTGATTGTGTGAATGTAGCCTCTGAGAATAGATTGTTCTCTTGGTATGGAATAATCAGAAGTTATTTTTATGGCTTAGTATCCATTCTAGAGGTTAGGGTTACTGAGGTTAATTAATAAATGTTCCTGTACCAGGGTATCATTCTAAAACTCTTCTTGATTTCCACCAGGTTTGTTGCATATGTACCTTCTAATTTTCTACATTTTGTGAAGATAAGAACTTTAAAAGGAAAAGACACTATTCCACTAGCAACATGGCTGGGGGTGGGTGAGGGGGAGGTCCTTATAGCTCAATGGCCTCGTTAGTTACCATAACTGCAGGCAGTTTTAGAGTCTGTTTCAAGGTGATGTTTAAATATAAGTGGGAAAGATAGATGCGAGAGCTAGGATTTTGAAAGCAAAACAATTTGGCATTCTCTCAACTAAATACAGATACTTAAACTTCTGAACCCAAACCAATGTCACCTTAGAAAGAGTGTTTTCCAGGAAAGAGTTAAAAATGAGTTCAAGGTGAGAACATTATGTACTTATACCTTCAGTCAGTGAGAAGAAAGAACCTCCATAAACCCTTAAGGGTGCACGTTCCTTTAAGACACCAAGATTTCACAGCCAGGTTTCAGAATCTAATCACACCTTGCCTCCTAGTTGTCGTGGGGCAGGTGGGACAGGAGGAGGACAAGCATCAGAGAGCGTGGAGGATGAATCACTACTTTCTTAGTGGGGGGCCCTTGAGGATTTGTCAGAAATATTAGCTCAAAAACAGTTTCAGTTTATTCTTTCTTTGCCTTCCCAGTGAGATGAAGGCTCACTTATTATTTGATAAGCAACACCAGAGGGCAGTGATTCTAGTTGTAAATTATTTGTCTTTGAGCTTTAATAAAGATTCCCCAAAAAGGAAAATGTTTTGTTTAAGAGCATTTTCTGCTTCACGTGGGAAGGTTCTCCCCATGCCAGTTCAAACATAACGAAATGAAATCTACCTTTCCAGCCTGATTTACTGAAGTTCACACCAGCAATGCAAATAAAACACAAATAGATACAGGGTGGATGCTTGATGGCATTTACTGTGATGATGTTCTAGAATACTTCCTCAATTTCACTGTGGCCCTTTAGCATTGTCCCATGCTTTTTTCTTTAGGGACAAATTACACTTTAAATATTCCCACGAACCTGCTGTATTCACATAACATTTTAATGTATTAATATTTAATGCAATGCCTTTTAATGTAGTTTTTCCATACAGTCCTTTTGGGGGGAGGATAACTATTTTGCTCTTAAAGAAACCTAGAGGAATTATTGTGCAAATCTGAATATGACTTTGAGTGATAGTGGAAAGGAACTGCAGTTTATACAGTTTCTAGGGTGTTCTTTTCCTGTCCCATTATAGTTATGCTCCCCCCTTTCCCTCCACGGGGTGACGAGTAAGGGTGTCACAACCCAGAAGCAATAAGAATGCTAGGTATCATCTCTTCAACCTCGGAATGGTTAACTTTTACATGTTTAATTGTTCTGCAGGTACTAACAGCATCTCTTTTTCCAAGTCAGGAAATTTTAGTCATTCCTTCATTCATTTACTCAGCAAATCCCTATTGAAAGCCAACTGCATGTGAGACATTGCTAAATGCAAAGGCATGAGCCTTTAAAAAGATGGGCAAGAATTTAGCTCTTCTATTCTAGTGGCAGGGGGTGGGAGCCGATTAAATCAATACAACGAATCAATAGTGATAAATGCATTGAAGAAAATATAACAGAGTGATGAGGTGAGTTTTTTTTAGATTGGTGGATAAGGAAAGTCTTTTTTAAGCTGCAACTTGAAAAATAAGAAGGAACTAGGCATGTAAAGATCTGGGGAAAGAGCAAATGCAAAATCCTGGAGGTGGGAACAAGCCTGCTGTGTTCAAGAAGGCCATTGTGGCTGGAGCAGAGTGGCTCAGGGAAGAAGCGGGAAATGAGCTCAGCAAGGTAGCCAGGGCCACATGGTACAGGACCATGTAGGTCACAGTAAAGACTCTGGATTTTATTCTGAGAGAGATGAAGCCTTCAGAGGGTTCTGATCAGAGGAGTGCTGTGATCTGGTTATCTTTTGAAAAGATAATCCATCCTGGCCGCTGGTGGAGTGTGTATTTTAGAGGTAGGAAGACAAGAGTGGCAGCTCAAAGGAGGGGCATTGTTTAGGAAGTGTATTGGTTACTTATCACTGCATAACAAATTACCCCAACATCTAGCAACCGAAATGACAATCTAAATTTATTATCTCATGTAGTATCTGTGGGTCAGGAATTCAGAAGTGGTTTAATTGGGTGGCTCTGGGTTCAGAGTATCTCATGAGGTTGCAGTCAAGATATTGGCCTGGGCTGTAGCCATTGAAAGGCCTCACTGGGCCTGCAGAACCCACTCATAAGATGGCTCACTCACATTATTGTTGTCAGGACTCTCAGTTTCTTGCCACATGGACGTCTCCATAGGGCTCCTTGAGTGTTTGCATAACATGACAGCTGACTTTCCCTAGAGGGAAGTGATCCAAGAGAGAGCAAGGTGGAAGCAACAATGCTTTTTTACGACCTAGCCTTGGAAGAGATACATTGCCATTTCTGCAATTTCCTGTTTTGTCGCACAGGTTAATCCTATGTGGTTGTGAATATTGGGAGGCAGGAATTACTGGGTGCCATATTGGAGGCTGGGTTTCTTAGGAGTTGTCCGGTGGGAGATAATGGTAGGAAAGCAAGAATTGCCCAGCAAAACTGCACTCTAAAAAGATATATGCATCTGGTAACACATCTGAATAGAGATTTTCCTCTGTCATTGGCTTCTTAGTGGCCTGCTATTTACAAATAAGTCCACAGAACCCAAAAATACTCCAATTACAACCCATGGTTAGACTCTGAGGTGTTTTAGCCACATTGCAAAATAACAATTTACTTGGCTTAATTTGACAGATCTTCTGTGATTATGATAAGTGACAGAATGGTACAAACTATGTTTCTCAATAATTTAAATGACATCCCAATCTCTCGAGACAGGAGGAAAGATGAATACATTTCTATTACATTCATATTTCATATAACACCTATTTTGCTCCTAAATTGCCGGCTGGCTTGGTTGTTTGAGCAGGCTTAATTTATCTCTTGCCAGGCCATGCTCAATAAACTGTCATTCGTATAGTTACTTAATGGGAATGTGCTTTAAGAACAAGTAAATCAGCAAGGTACCGCTGGCCCTCCAACGTCCTCCGTCAGCTTAGCTATGGAAGCACAAGCAGATGGCTGTCTTTCAGCAATCACAGCAGAATCCTCTGTCAGAGGGGAGAATTAATTTAACAGAGTGTAGGTGGAAATCGCTCTACTTAATTAGGGGAGTCGTCTGTAGCTTTAAATTCATTTCTCGGGTGGTTATTTCTTAACTTTCTTTTGTTTTAGACACATGAAAGAAACCTAACCCTAATCATTGTTTCAGGAGCAATTACTGTGGCTGGTTGACGAGGGAAGACTCGTGACCTTCACGTGATGCCAAAATGGGTAGCTTTGGTGGCAGAGACTAAACTGAATGCTGTTATTCTCTTGATTGTCATATTTTGAGAATAGTTGCCAGGTTTGGCCAAATGGCACTTTTCCCATCTCCGACTCAAACAGAAAGAACAAATTTACTTTTTTTTTTTCAAGTGTGTTCTGTCACAGTTTTGAAGGAATGGTTTTTACTTTTTGAATTCAAACCAGTGGAGGGGTGAAGAGTGTAGATCTTAAATTAAAAAAAAAAAAAAAGAAAGAAAGCCACGAGCAGGAGTGAGCCATTGGCACAGAACCAGACACTGTCGTTCCTGAGGTCATTTTGAGTAAAGTCGTGTCCTTCGGCCGTGAGCCTCTCATATTTTCCCCCACGGTGGCGCAGCTTCCTCACACCAGAAAATCAATGTGTTTATGTTGTGCTTTAGTGGTGGCGAGTGACGAAGAGGAAGGAGCCGTCCTCTTTGACAGCTCTGGCAAGGCGGCTGCTGATCCCTTTGACACGTCTTCTGGGTCTGTGCAGCTCATCGGAATAAAACCCACAGCCCTCCCCGTGGTGCACCCCACCTCGGACAGGAGCCAGGAGCCGGTCGTACTCAACGGCGAGGTGAGCACCTGAGGACCAGAGCAGGAGAGAGAGCGGGTGCAGCCAGGCCTCCGTGGATGCGGACTAAGGAGTAGCAGCTGGGGGTCCTGGGTGCAGGTTGCATCCAGGTGTACGGGGCTCTGGGGGTCATTTTTACCTCTGCATGCGTGGGCCTCAGCAGAACTAATCAGAACACATGTCACCCCAAACCAGTTTGCTGAGTGATGTTTTCAGAGCATTTTCTACCTTCATTAGAAAGCCCAAAGGGGACTTTTTAAAAACTGTAGTTGTGAAGGGAAACATTAGAAATTCTGCTTCCCCAGCACCTCACCCACACAGCCTGCTGTCTTTCTTGGTACTAAACTGGTCAGAATGGCACGTCTGTTGCAGTGGTGGTGAGAGGCACTTGAATTGATAGGGGACCAGAGGAGATCCAGACCGGGATGTGGCCCACTATCTAGGCTTTGAAATGACTTTTATTCCTTTGAGCAAGCTTGAAACAACCCTTTGTCTGCTTCCAGGAGGATATCGATGGATATCATGATGTTAATCAATTTTCCTAAGTCTGAAAAAAATTATTAATGTACACGAGAATAATGATTCCACCAAAGAAAAACAGATAGATGGATGGATGGGTGGGTGGATGGAGATAGATAGATAGATAGACTGATAGAGGCAGTTTAGGGCAGAGCAAGAGAGTAAATTGGGTAAACATTATCTGCCATTTCTCCATCTCCTGCAGCAGAATGGTCAGTGGGCTGAAGATGTTTATGATCCTTTAAGGCCATGCATGTGGAACCTGCATGTGAATACATTACACATGTATGCACGCATACACGTACTTTCATATATTTTTCTCTGTTGTTAAGCTGTCAGGTTGGTTTTTCACTTCATTAGTTTATACCCAGCTATGGCTACCTGCATCAGGAGGGAGATCGCCTAAGCTTTGACGTCTCTTTACCATCACACCTGGAGGAAAATGCGACAGCCCCATACAGCTGTGTATTGTAAGCGCACTTGAGTGGCTTGTCTGCATCCCCCATCCAGGCCACATATAAAAGCCTGTTACAGACCTGATTCAGGAAGCTCCTCTGGTTTTCTGGACAGAAAGACCGAACTGCTTAGAGGTGTGATGAGTTGAGGTTCATCAACTTTTAAAAAGAATTTAACTGGGAATTCCCTGGTGGTCCAGTGGTTGAGACTCAGTGCTTTCACTGACGTGGGCCAGGTTTGATCCCTGGTCGGGGAATTAAGATCCCGCAGGCCATGCGGCATGGCCAAAAATAAATAAATAAAAATAAAAAGAACTTAACTGGTTGTGGACTTATAGAGCACTTCTATTCCAACCTCCTCACTTTTTTTAGACAAAGAAACTGAAGCCAGAGGGCTCAGGTGGCTTGCTCAAAGTTGCACTGCAGGTTATTGTGACAGCATGATGTTCAGGCCCCCTGGCTCCCTGTCCAGTGCTCGCTCCTTCCCTCTCTTTGACTTCCTGTGGCCCATTAGTGAAAAAAAGCATTGTGCTTGAAAGAGTATAGACTCCCCAGCCATGCTGCAAGAATGTGAATCTACTTACTATCTACTCACTCTTACTCTTACTATCTACTTACTCTTCTACTTACTATCTTTGTGACCTTAGGCAGGTTAATTTATCTGTGCCTCAGTATCTCCATCTGTGCAATGGGACTGTTGTGAGGATCAAATGAGTTAATACATGTAAAGCACTTAGAACAGTGCCTAGCCTACAAGTACGTTATTATTACTGTCATCATCATCATCAGTCAGCTAATGAGCAAGGATTCAGTGATCATGTACTTTATGCCCTTTGGCCCTATAACTTGGGAACCTGTACATCTTCCTAAAGCCAATCACAGCCAGTGAATCTTTCCTTATACACAGTTCTGCCACTGGACATGCAAGCCCAGTGATTAGAGGCCTCTGAGGTTATCACTAATGCACTGGTAACTGCTCTTCATTAAGACCCTCTGCCCAGTATGGGCCCAGGTGATGGCTGCCATGCCTGGATCTTTTCACCCCAGCTTAGCCATGTGAATGTCCTGGGGACAGGTTCCAGATCTCGGCTAAATCTAACTTACCACTCCCTTTTTCTGCTGGGCCCATCACCCTGTCACAGGAGAACAGATGAGCATTTTCCCTGTCCAGAAATGGCTGCATGTTACACTTTGGTAGCCGAAGGAATAGACCTTGCTGACATTTGGATTGGAAAGGAGCCCTGAACTGTTCTCTGTAATTTACTGCCTTGTGGCATTTGAGGCAGATTGTCTTATAAGTTTCCTCTTTCTCCTCTTATGGGCAGCTTGTATAAGTGAAGAAAGTACAGCCTCAAAGCCATAAATTTTCCTTTTATGAATTATAGGTAATTCTTTTAAATATTATTTTAAAGAAAACATAATAACAGCAAAGTTCAGAAAGTAAGAAAGGTCACTGTAACTTCACTACCCTAATATATCCTCTGTTTTCATTTTTTCCACCTTCAAGCTTTTGATCAAACTCATGTATATTTTAGAACCTCATCATAGACAGACAACTTTATATCTTGTATCTTAAGCGTTTGCTGTGTTGCTATTGTCTTTCTGATGATCACTGTGAATGACTTGATGGAGTAGGTGCACCATTGATTGGGAAACTACTCTCCCATTGTTCAAACCAGGTATTTTTGGTTTTAGTTTTCATGCATGACTTTTAAAAAGTTTTTATTTTGAAAATAACTTTAGATTTACAAAAGAGTTGCTGTAATAGGACAGAGAATTCCTTTACCCAGCTAGTTCTTTACCTGCTACCCCTACTGTTAGCATGTTATGTAACCATGGAATAATGATCCAACCCAAGAACATAACATTGGTACAATACTATTGACTAATGTGCAGATCTCATTTGAATTTCACCGGTTTTCCCACTCATGTCCTTTTCCTGCTCTGGAGTCCAATCCAGTTTCACCGGTTTTCCCACTCATGTCCTTCTCCTGCTCTGGAGTCCAATCCAGTTTCACCGGTTTTCCCACTCATGTCCTTCTCCTGCTCTGGAGTCCAATCCAGTTTCACCGGTTTTCCCACTCATGTCCTTCTCCTGCTCTGGAGTCCAATCCAGTTTCACCGGTTTTCCCACTCATGTCCTTCTCCTGCTCTGGAGTCCAATCCAGTTTCACCGGTTTTCCCACTCATGTCCTTGTCCTGCTCTGGAGTCCAATCCAGTTTCACCGGTTTCCCCACTCATGTCCTTGTCCTGCTCTGGAGTCCAGTCCAGTTTCACCGGTTTCCCCACTCATGTCCTTGTCCTGCTCTGGAGTCCAATCCAGTTTCACCGGTTTCCCCACTCATGTCCTTGTCCTGCTCTGGAGTCCAGTCCAGTTTCACCGGTTTCCCCACTCATGTCCTTGTCCTGCTCTGGAGTCCAATCCAGTTTCACCGGTTTCCCCACTCATGTCCTTGTCCTGCTCTGGAGTCCAGTCCAGTTTCACCGGTTTCCCCACTCATGTCCTTGTCCTGCTCTGGAGTCCAGTCCAGTTTCACCGGTTTCCCCACTCATGTCCTTGTCCTGCTCTGGAGTCCAATCCAGTTTCACCGGTTTCCCCACTCATGTCCTTGTCCTGCTCTGGAGTCCAGTCCAGTTTCACCGGTTTCCCCACTCATGTCCTTGTCCTGCTCTGGAGTCCAGTCCAGTTTCACCGGTTTCCCCACTCATGTCCTTGTCCTGCTCTGGAGTCCAGTCCAGTTTCACCAGTTTCCCCACTCATGTCCTTGTCCTGCTCTGGAGTCCAATCCAGTTTCACCGGTTTCCCCACTCATGTCCTTGTCCTGCTCTGGAGTCCAATCCAGTTTCACCGGTTTCCCCACTCATGTCCTTGTCCTGCTCTGGAGTCCAATCCAGTTTCACCGGTTTCCCCACTCATGTCCTTGTCCTGCTCTGGAGTCCAGTCCAGTTTCACCGGTTTCCCCACTCATGTCCTTGTCCTGCTCTGGAGTCCAGTCCAGTTTGACCAGTTTCCCCACTCATGTCCGTGTCCTGCTCTGGAGTCCAATCCAGTTTCACCGGTTTTCCCACTCATGTCCTTGTCCTGCTCTGGGGTCCAGTCCAGGATCCCACGTGGCATTTAGTTGTCTTCTGAGTCTCTTCCAGTTTGGGACAGTTTCCTTCTTTGTGAGCATTTTGTCTTTCATGACCATTGCTCTTTTAAAGCCAGTTACCATGTAGAATGTCCCTCAATTTGGATTTGTCTGGTGTTTTCTTATGCCTGGATTGAGGTTATGAATTTGGGGCATAGCTATGGGAATGTTGTGGCCTTTCGTGGGCATTGCATCAGGAAGTACTTGGTACTGATATGTCTGATAACTGGTGATGTTAACTTTCATCTCTGACTTTGAACTTCTCTTGGAATGTTGTTTCAGGAGAGATTCCAGAAATGGATTCCTGGCTCAGAGGATGTCATGCTACCTTCTCTTTACTGGTTTTCTCAGTGGCAGGCAGAATGAGGGGACAATTAAAGATTTGCGAGATGCTACCAACCTAAAGATATCATCAGGACCCAGGTTGGGGAGATCTTTGAAAGAGTTAGAAAAAATATGTCCCTCAGTCTGTTTCTTCAAATGCTGTAAAAATAAAGCATCTAAGATGCAGCCTCATGTTAGTGAACCTTGGGCTTCGTACGTTGGTTGATACGTATCTTACCTCTGGATGAATTCATTGCTACGATAACCCAGCAGTGTGGAGTGTCAGGACTGGAGTCTCTGCTTGCACATTGAACCGCATCCCGGGCATTTGGGAGTTTATCTTAGAGGATGGGCTATAGTTACTCAGGCTCATGACTCCAGAGCTAGCTGCGCGGATCCTCGAATGAGCTCTGATGAAACACCACACTCTCACCACAACTTGTTGGCCAGACACAGCTAGTGCTATATCTAATCTTCAAAGCCCCCAGGTGTTGGTTTGCATTGTTATAGGCTGCTTCTTGCAACTGGCTTGCCCCTTCCTCTTTCCC